ATGGGAAAGACTGTGTGAGGAGCAGATTTCAGGGGTGAAATTAGGAGTTTATTTCAATGTGTTAAGTTTGAGATGTCTATTATATATTCATATAGAGAGGCTGAGTCAGGAGCTGGGGGAGATATAAATCTGAAAGTCACTGGCATATAGGTGGCATTTGAAGCCATGTGTCTGGATAAGAAAGTAGGTGTAGCCAACTAACTGAAGGCCTGCCAATGTTTATGATCAGAAAGATGGGGAGGAACCAGAAAGCAAGACTGATGTATAACAAAGATAGACGTGTCCCAAAAATAGTGAAGACAATATATCGAAGAAGATTAAATAATTAACAGCGTCCAGGCCGATACATGAATAAGGTGAAAACTGACGAGTGGATTTGGCGATGTGAAGGTCATTGATGGCTTTGATGGGTGTTGTTTAGGTTATGGTACGGACAAACGCCTGTTGGACTAGGTCAGGAAAAGAGAATGGGAAGAGAGGGATTGAAAGCAGTGAGGATAGAGGATTCTTCAGAGGACCAGAGAAATGGAGTAGTTGCTGTGTGTTGGGAGATGTTGATTGAGACCTAGTCAAGCTTAGTTCATAGGACTTAGCCAGGAACATCTAAGGCACATGATGAGTGAAATACATTTAAATTTCATATCCTGCTGGGGGTTTGAGAACTAGTCAGTTTTCTAACCAGCTGTCAGATGTTTTGAACGTCTGCATCCGAGCAGGACTCAAAGCAGGGTTTGGGCAGCAACAAAATCAGTGGTCTCAGCCTCTGCCTGTCACTGGAAGCACTGATGGTCTGGACGGAGACCACTCGGAGCATCTGACCGTACAGGCGTCTCCCTTTATCTGAATCTAGTTTGTTCCAGAAAATGTGTTAGCTACTGAAAAACAATAAAGCATTCCCACTTCTACTAAAATCCAGTTTCCCAAAATATCACTAAAACACTCTTAGGCCACCCTATAGATATTTAATATCTCGTCCACAATGCACGCATTGTCATGTGTGGCAATCTACCAAGGATTTCTGCATATACAAAGCAGTTAAGACACCACTTTTTTAATGTGTAATTAACTGGGTATTCATGGGTTCATTATGCAGAGTTTGCTTTCCCTCCACAGTGCAATGCACATATACTAATGTAAATGAACAATAAAATAAAATGTTAAAGAAAACATAAATAACATTTAGTAAAATAAAATATATAAGCAAGGCAATTTTTTGAATGGTTACCTTTTTTTAAGATTTTATTTATTTTGAGAGAGAAGGGGAGAGAAAGGGAGAGAAACATTGATGTGAGAGAGATACATTGATCAGTTGCCGCAGATGCAGGACTGAAACCACCACCCAAGTATGTGCCCTGATAGAGAATAGAACTGGGAACCTTTTGCTTTGTAGGATGGTGCCCAACCTACTGAGTCACACCAGTCAGGGCTGACTTGTTATTTATTGATTAAAGAGTTAACTGAGATTGGGTGAGCCAGAGCGAGCTTGTGAAGGACAAAGGGAACCATAAATGACAGAGATTTCTCCCTGGCTAAATCCTGGGACAGTCTTCTTACCTTGACACTTGGCACCTCAGAAGTGTGTGGCTGTGAGCTATCAGATGAAGCTGCAGGTGAAGCAAAGAAGAAAATAAAAAACATACTTTTGTTTGCATTTCTTTGCTTTCATTTATGCAGCTCCTGATGACAGGAGTCTGGGCTTTGATTGCGTATCTGAATGTGATGTTTCTTCTCATGTCACAACTGCAATCATCATTTTGTCTGCATCAGTTCAGTTTATTTCAAAGATCTGACATTGAATATTCATTGCTCCTCTCCCTCTTCTTCCTCTAACCAATGATATATGTCGAGCTGAACCAGTTCTACCTTCTGAGGAAACCAGTTCTCACATGACAAAGTGGGGCAGGTGCGCATAACCAATGCACAGCACATTGACCCTGTGCCCCTCGAGGACGAGCAGCCGAATTACAGCTGCAGCTGTACATCTTATCACTCAGGCTCAGGCACAATTTAAACATTTCTTTTGGCACTCACAGGCAGATTATAGCGGGTTTTCAATTAGGATGCTGAGCTTTGAATAAAAATTTTTGCAAGTTGTTATAGGGCACAGATAGAGTGCAGAGAGCAAGGGATCTGTAAATGGTGTTCGTTTGAAACACAATGTGGGCTTTGGCATCAGACGGACCTGGATCTGCAGCCTGGCTCCCCATCTATTATCTGTGTGATCTTGGGTTACATCATTAGTCTCTATGAGTCTCAATTTTCTCGGATGTGAAATGGAGATAATAATATTTAACATACAGGGCTATTACAAGATCATAGTACCTATATTGGTGTCTAGTACACATATTAGAGGCCCAGTTTTTTAAAAAAGTAACTATTGATACTTTATCTATTAGTGTGGGGGTGTAAACAACAGAAATTTAAAGAAAAATGTATAAAATAAACTGGATACAGCCTACTTGTTGAGGTCATAAGAGGAAAATGAGACTGTTGTTACACACAAGAAAACAGATGATCCGTGGTGATGACCAGAGGGAAAGAGGGGCAGGGAGAGGTAGGAGAGGGGATAGAGGGGCTAAATGGTGATGGAAGATGTGACTTGGGGTGGTGCACACGCAATACAATATACAGACAATTATTATAGAATAGTATCCCTGAAAACCTGTATAATTTTGTTAACCAATGTCACACCCGTAAATTCGATTTTAAAATAATAAAATAAAGGCAAGATGGCTCACTGTAAGTTACATTTTGCTTCCTCATCTTGGCAGCGCCTTATAAAAAGCAGTGGCAATCTGTTTAGCGTTTTGCCAAATGGTTGATGGTGTTTATGTTCAAGTCTAAAGCGAACTGCCTCAGTTTGCTCTTCATCCATAGCAGTAATAACACATTGAATCCTTCTATGATAGCTAGTTCCTGTATATGTTACAGTAGCTCCAGGTCAAAAGTTATTTCCAATCACATTTGTATGTACTTTCTGGAGATCAAGGTTATACAATTGATCACCACCTGCAGAGAGATGTCCCAGGAAAAGCTCTAGCACCTGTGCGGCACTCGGGGCCCAGCACACCTCCTTGCCCTATCCTAGCCCAGCGTTCCATGTTCCCTAAGGGCCAGGCTTCCGCTGGCATTCCCAGGTCGTCTGCCTAGTCTTCCCGCCCGTGTCCCAGTCTCCTGGACCTGGTGTCTGTTCTCTGCCCCTGCTCTCCTACAGTCGTTAGTTTACCAGGGATCCTAGCACCTCTTTTGAGCCAGAGCCATGGCCTGAACTAGTGCCATGGAGGAAATGAGATTCCATGCCCCCACCTCCACCAAAGCGTAAGATCTCCAAGCTCTGCCCCTGAACTCTGCCCCCTAAATACACAGGGAATACTCAGGAGGTCTAGCCAGGTCTGAACCAAGCCTGGCTGGCTCTCTCTCCAGGACTGGGAGTGGAGGTGGGGAAAATGAAAGAAACAAAAATCCCTTCAAGAAGATGGGAGTATCGCCCACATCGGTCAAATGATGTGATTAAAAGGCTCTGGAGCCCAACCAGCTGGGTTCAAATGGCAGCTCTACTAGTGATGTAGCCTTGAACAAGCTACTTAACTCCTTTGTTCCTAAGTTTCCTCACCCATAAAATGGAGATAGTAACAGTACCTATTTGATAGGTCATTCTGAATATTAAACAAGTTGCTGTGTTGATAAAGAGTTCAGAACTATGCATCCCACATACTGTGTTAAAATATGGATGATGATGATGACAACAATGATGACCAAAAGCCTGCAGCAAAGGAATGACACCCAGGCACCTCCGTAGCCTTGGCACCTGAGGGCTTGCCTGGTGTCCCAGTTTCTCCCTCGCAACACATGCCTCATGCATGCACCTACTCCTAAGCCACAATCTATTTCACAACCCCCTACCTCACTGTGCCAGAAGGTCATGTCTTTCCTTTTTTGCTGCTGTTACCATAAGCGTAGAATGCCTGCTGTTCCACCTGGCTCTCTTATTCTAAATCTTCTCTCATGAGTCAGCTTCTCCACAAAACCCAGGGGGCCTGGAGCAAGGTCTCATGGGGTATACATGTTCGCTTCCTCCCTGGACACAAGCTGATTAAAGGCAAGGACACACCCCTCCCATCTCCATCCTGTGGTACTTTGAAGAATGCCTGGTAGGCACTCAACTTATCAAATGTCCTTCCTTCTGCAGGATCGACTCTTGTCATTGATGTCAGTGACTGAATAACACCTGCTTCGTGGAGAACCCATGAGAGTTCTTAGATATCACACGTAAATCACTTAGCAAAGTGCCCACCACACTTAGTTACTGTGACTGCAGCAGAGCCCAGGCTTGGGAGCAAAGCAAACATGGACCTGCAGACCAACTTTGTCACTTCAAAGCTGCAGGGACATCAGTTTTCTCAACCATAAGTTGTGGTTATAATACCTTTCTCAGTGCAAAAGAGTAAGCAATCAATAAATACTAGGTCCCTTCTCTTTCTCCTCTGTGGCTAATTTGGGGACCTGGCTCAATTTATTTCACTTCTCCGGTCCTGGCTTCCTTATCTGTAAAATGAGCACATTGAACGAGCTGATCCTCATGGGCCCTGCCAGACCAAAATTTCAAAATTATTGAATTCATCTTTTCTCCTGAAACCAACTCATTCTGTGTCCCTTGGTAACTCCCTGCTCGGTGTTTTAATACATTAAATTGTCTCATTCATCGGACTCTCTGTCAGCCTCTCTCTAGAGACTGCAGCATGGTCCAGACGTGGGACCTCTGCCGGAGCCCAGGGCGGTTCGCACACTAGGGCTGTGTGTGAGTGGCTGCCCAGGAACCGGGGCTGCAGCAACCTCGTTCCTGGCTGGATTCCTGTCACAGTGAGGTCTACAGGCCACACAGAGAAGCAGTTTCTGGCTTCCTTTGTCCTGGATAAAAAGAATCTGCATCTGAGCATGAAGAAGTGTGGGTCCAAGCGGAGCATCACATTCACGGCCTTTTCTTTTCTCTTTTGCCCCAGACTCTGCAAATGGGCATCAAACATTTCTCTGGACTCTTTGTGCTACTGTGCGCAGGACTAGGTCTGTCCATCTTGACAGCCATTGGTGAGCACATAGTGTACAGGCTGCTGCTACCACGAATCAAGAACAAATCTAGGCTGCAATACTGGCTCCACACCAGCCAGGTGAGTGCCCCAGGAGTCTTGCTCCAATGGTCTTAAGCCTCAGAATTCCCGGCGGTGGGAGAATCCAGAGCCCCAAGTCAGACTGACAAATGACAAGTTACCATGAGAAGGAGGGCAGCGTAGACACCCTCAGTGTCTAAGACAGAGTTCTCTCTATCCCATTAATTCACTTTCGCCTCAAATTAAGCTCTCCCTTAGAGCCCCTTCTTTTCATATAAACCTCCACTGCTGCTCACAGTGGAAGCAATAGAATTGTTTTTAACCTGGTTTCACTTAGTAGTGACAATCTGAAGAGATGGAGTGTTAAGATTTGTTTTCTACAGATTCTTTTCTTGCCAAAATTGGAACCATTAAATGAGCCTGAAGTCCCTGATTCCCTCCGAACCCACTGACCCTTGTTCTCTCTGCGTTTTCAATCAGTCCAGAAAATGGGGCCACTTTTGCCTCCATCATCTGTATTGCTGCTTTGTTATCACAGTACTTTTTTTTTCTAGGTAACTTACTATCCTTGGTTTGGTTGCATTTGAGCCCTGATTTTCCTGCCTTCTTCCTAGGAAGTGTTTGGTTTCTTAAGGAGAACTCCACAGACAACCGATCTTCATTGTGTGTTAACATGATTAGTTTCATTCTCAAACGCTCTCCTTTCCTTTTTTCTTTTGGCTGCTAGGACGTTCATACTTTTTTTTTCCCTGAACCTTTAACAAATGCACAGGGCCTTTTGCCACACCTCAGTCATGACAGCTCTTCTTTATATCACATACCTTTTTACAACCCAGAGCGTTTCTAAGCTTCCTATCAAATTACTTTTTTCACCTCCAGGTAGAATAATAACTTACACTTGGAATTCTTGTTCTCTTGAGATTTAGGACTGAATGTTGATCTGTTCTCAGGCACCCCTGGAAATTTGTTTAAAGAGGCCAAGGTTTGTAGTGACAAGATACACTATAAAATCTCAGGCGGTACTTTGTCCCTGACTGTGTGTTTCTAATGATCTCTATGTGTGAATTTGTTCTTTCCACCAGAGATTACATAGAGCACTAAACACATCATTTGTAGAGGAAAAGCAGCCACGTTTCAAGACTAAACGTGTGGAAAAGAGGTAAGAAGAAGCCAGTGCTAGCTTTCTTCAGATTTGTTAATACGAAAGTTTAGAGATGTAACTGACACTCCATGCTCAACAGAGAAATTATGTATAGATAATTCAGATCGAATTAGGACCAAGTTGTTGATAAACACAATCAGTAAAAGTATAGGTGATTTCAAGTAGAAATAGAATAGACAAAAAACATATCTGTACACACATGAACACTGAAATGCAGGATAGGTGGTATTTATCATAGTCACAAGCTCAGGTGTGGTCTCTAGAGTGAAGACGCTCTAGGTGTGGTCTCCAAATACCGTCTCTGACACTTAAAGTTATGTGTGGCCTTAGGCAACTTATTTAACTTCTTTGTGCCTCAGTTTCCGCATATGTGAAATTGAGATAAAAACAGTACCTATTCTGTAGACATGCTGTAAGAATTAAATGAAATAATACACATAAAGCCCTGAAAACAAAGCTATTTTAGCAATCACCCTTGTGTACAAAATACATGTAAGACAGTTCATGAATCCTGCAGGTAATTAATTTCATGTAATATTGCGTCTTTGGCACGTTTTCACTCCCCAGCACTCCTAGGAATAGGCAAAATATGCAACAGATATGTTCTGCTTAATCCATTTCCTGGCACTCTTGCTACAAACTCCCCAGAAAAGAGGATCTCATTACAGGAAGTAATAAGCACTAAATGTATAGAACACATATGAAAATTAAAACTTCATGCCCTCCCCACATCCAGCCTGTGGATGGCTGTTCATTCATGGTTGCTCACAACGTCAGAAGCATTTGGGTCTGCTTCCTGTCATGGCTGCCTAAGGCGGCCCTCCTGGCTCCTTCATATGCCCAGGGGCCTCTCTTTAGGGAGTTACCTCCAAGCGGCAGTCAATTATGGCAGATCCTAGGCTCAAAGCTTGGCCTTCTGAGTAATTTTGAAACCTGACACTCACACTTCTCTAGGAGAAGAAAAGGTAAAAGGGGTGAAAAGCACGATTTGTTTTTCTTGTTTGAATCTCCTCTGGGACTGCCGCAGGCCCCTTCTCCCCAGTTTGCATCTAGCTTGTCAGAATCCTTTCCACTATCTCTTAAAGCCTCTTTGCAGTCAGTGAACAGACTGCCCCCTGCCCCGCCACCACGGCCGTTCAGGCTGTGGTCTCCCTGAGTCACATACCACAGCCCTGTCAGCGACAAGCCCTAGACTAATCAGGTTCCCGCTGTTCCATGTCATGTTACATAGTTTTTTTCTATAATTATTTTTGACATAAATTTTTAAACAGAGAAACACAAGAAGACACAGCAGCAAAGACATCATCTCACAACGACAAAGCATTTGTTTCCAGCCATAATGGGAACAGGAAGCCCAGGGTGCCCCTCTCCAACTGTGATGTGAGTCCTAAACACATCTCTTTGGCCTTAATCGAGAACCAAATGTGTCTTCTTTCAATAAACTTTGCCACTTTCCTTGGAAAATTCCCTTCTGGGACCCTTTATTATGAGAAGGAACAAAGGCAGAACATACCCTTGTGTCTCATGTTGGGTCCACATTGCCTGTGCCACCTGCCTACCACCCAACATCCACCTGTAACCTTTCAAATGCAGTGAGAGTTTGAGGTCCCATGGCCGCCGTATCCTTTCTGAATGGTCTGAGGGAGCATCAAACCTCCCTGTTACACTACTGCTCTGTGGAAGCTTGTTTGGCTTATTTTTAGTGTTAAGAACAGCTCACTCACTGGTCACATTACACTTGAAGGCTGAGAAAGGCTTGATACAAAACACAACCTAAACACTGTGGAGAACAGCAGTGTACCACACTCATTCCTTCCAATCAGATACCAAGTCTGACACTCAGCATCTGTCACCTGGTGTTCACAGGTGGCCCAGAGCCACCTACCTGTCCATTATCAGAGCACTTACAATACTAGAGTTTGTCACGGAATCCAGCTTTTGCTTATTCTTCCACATTATATTTCCAGATATGTGTACAAAGCACTACAGAAAACTAGATTAGCTAAATCCAGTTACCTGATTTTTGTGGTTGCCTGTACAGTCCAAGAAAACTTCTAAGATAGATGCCCCCTACTTCCAGGTTTCCCCCGTTATGAATCATTCTATGGTACTAGAGTTAGTTCTGTTGGCTTAAAAACTCTCCTCTTTTTGGGGGAAGAATGTGTATGTAAATGCCCATGTCTGCTAATAACTTGACATCCCGCCTTGTGTGCTCCATATTTGTTGAATGAATAAAGCAGTAGATAAATGAATCAATTACTAACATTGGTTTGAGGAAAGGCTAGGGGAAACTTTGAGTCATGGTATGAGAGTTGATGTTACTCCTTTTTTATTTAAAGCAGAGAAAAAAGTAGGTATTGGGAGAGACTATTTATATATAGCCATTGGTTTACATAACATGTGATTTCATGTAAATTTTGGTCTATCCTTCACCCCCCTGGGTTTCCAGTACACCCCTCTTTTCCCTCTCCCATCACCCCAAGATACACAAAAATTATAAGCCATATAACACACACCACAAATAAGATTGTTTTGAAATTATTCAAACTCAATGGGAAATGAGTTGAAAAAATTAAAGAGAAGTGTAAGGCTAGAAGGGAAAGTATAACCACATCTCTGATCCAGGTATAAAGCCAGTAGAACTGTAAGTGGACTCATTATAGAATTTTTACCCAGCCCAGGACACATGAAAGCTGAGCTCTCGTACCCCCTGCTCATTTATATGAGACTTAAACTATGAGAAATGTTGAAGAACTACAGGGTGGTTTGGAATGTGTCTGTGTGTTTTAATAGCTTGGGGCATATATCAGTTAGTTTTTGCTGTGTGAGAAATTACCTCAATAGTTAACGCTTGAAACAACAGTGAGTTGCTTATGAATCTGTGGGTCAGCTGGGCATTTCGCTGCTCTGGGCCAGACTTGGCTGATCTCAGCTACGCTTGCTCACCTGTCCGCAGCTAGACTGGGGGCAGGGGGAGAGCAGCTCAGGGCTGGCCGGCCTATGATGGATGAGCCCTCCGCTGGGTCCCCTGGGTGCACCGGGGACTTTCCATATGGTCCGTTAGCATCAGCACACGAGGCTCACCTTGCTCACATTGCAGCAGCAGGGCTCTGAGAGAGAGAGTGGCCGTGTGTGAGGCTCTTAAAAGTTTAGGCTTGAAACTGCCACCCGCTACTCCTACCACTTTCCATTGCCCAAAACAGTCATGAGATGGGACCGAATTCAAAGGGGAGGGAAAGCGGACTTCCCCACCTTGAATCCCTCTTGATAGGGAGGACCCGCAAAGTCCCATTGCAGAAGGGCGTGGATGAAAAGAACAAAGGATTGTGACCACCTTTGCCATTGACCGCAGGGAAAAATGAAATAGAATTATCCTATTAAATCTTTGTGGTTCTGTTTTCATCCATGTAACTGAATCAAGACTTTATGATTCCTCCCCTGACCCCTCCCCCTGCAGGCCCTGCCCTTCTCTTCCTGGCAAATAAGAATCCAGGAATAAAAGCTTGCTTCAGTGAAATGGATGGGGACCAAGACACAAGGACTTAATAGAGTGTTTCTATTTTTGTTTGGCCCTGTGGTAGATTGCAAAGTGGTCATAATCCTTCTCCTTCCCCTCCTTCTCCTTCTCCTCCCCGTCCTGCTTCTCCTTCAACAAGGCTAGAAGGAATCATCAGCTTTGCTGCTTAGGGCTCTGATCTGTTCTTGTAGCAAGAAACTCATCCCATTGCATCCAGCTGTCAAAGTGTATTTCAGAGGCCAGATCCTCCCCGCTGCCGCCCCCCTCCCCCCACTCCGCCCCGTGCCTGGCCAGCAGTAACCCTCTGGCTGTCTACAGCCATCTCTCTGCGATGGTGGTGGGTGGTTCCATGCAAGCCTGATAGAGGACTGCGAATCTATCTATATTTCACTTTCATTATCCCGGCAAGAGCTTGACGCTTTCTTGTGTGTTTTGCTGTCGTTGTTAAGCTTCAGAACTGAGCTGTCAGTCTCAACCCATGTAAAGTCATCCCTATAAGGGGAGACTTTGCTGAAACCTGTGGTTTGTATGCTTTTACTCTCCTCTAACTGAAGCGGTGACATCAGGGTGGTCCTACGGGACCAAAGATGAGCCATATTACAGTGTCTGTCCTCAGGCTCATGCTTAGCCTCCAACAGCTGAATAAACCAATTCTTGCTTTTATGGAAGCACCATCTTTCTAGCCACAGAATGTTTCAAGGCCGTGCTGAGTTCGGAGCCTTATGAGCAGGAAGGGAATAAAAGGGCGTCTAAGGTTCTTCCTGTAAGAATGGGTCACACCCTGGTCTATCAGTTCTCCAGGAGGATACACACATTCCAGTTTTAGGGCAGCATAAGATGTGATAAGTCCTTGAACTTTAGCTGAAAAGGACTACGTTGTCTCCTTTCATCCGCATGACATCAGCTAGCGGGCAGTCTGCCCGTGGCTTTGTTCCTGCATCTCTGAGTTATGCACCCCGCTCCATACCACTCACACGGGAAAGAGCTAACTGATGGGGAACAGCACCTTGTGAGCTGCAGAGCGGAAGGTCAACCTACAGTGCCCCTTTGTTTCCTAGGTCCAATGTGGGACCCCGTCAGCTCTCCGTGTGGAATACTTCCCATCAGACACATGACAACCAACGAAAATACATCTTTAGTGAGGAGGGAGAACAAAACCAGCTGTGCATTGGGGCCCACCAGGACATCCCTCTCCCTCCGAGGAGAAGAGAGCTCCCTGCCTCGCTGACCACCAACGGGAAAGCGGAGTCTGTACACGGGGCACGGAACTCAGTGATGCAGGAGCTCTCGGAGCTGGAGAAGCAGATTCAGGTGATCCAGCAGGAGCTGCAGCTGGCTGTGAGCAGGAAAACGGAGCTGGAAGAGTATCAACGGACAAAACGGACTCGTGAGTCCTAGCTGAAGCCACCGCTCCCCTTTGTCGGTTCCTGGCCTTCTTCTGAGCCCTTGAGACACTTTGTAATGCTCTTTTGTAACAACTGACAAAGGTGTGGGGACCCTGAGGTCTAGGTCTTCTTAGAGGTCCAGTCTGTGCTCCCCAGCCGAAAAGGCAACAAGCAGCAGCTCTTCCCAAGCTCACTCCCTAGGTCTCCAGGGTAACCGCCTTTCAGAGCAGGAATCTTAAATTAGTCAGGAGTGAACTCCGCCTAAGGGATCTGTGAATAACCAGACAACCCCAGCTCCTGTTAACCTTTTCACCAGGTGCCACAGTACTATTTCTGGTTTTTAGCCCTTTCTCTGCGCTAACAGCAAGAGATTAAAAAAAAAAAAAAATTGATACCCATACCTGTGTCTTACTGGGTTGTTGGTTTTATTCTCAGTAGAGAACAGGACTACCCAGGGTTGCGGTTTTCAATACAACTCCCCAGTGTCGATTTGTCCCTGTGTTCTGAATGAGGAACAGGGTCAGAGCTCAAGAGACTAAGAACAGGAAGGTGGGTGCTTAAAAATGGTCCCTGAACTCATTAGTGTTACAGCAGGCCAAGGACTGATTAGATCAATAAGAGCCATGTTTCTGAGAAAGTCCTAGCTCTCTGACACCGTCCTGACTGACATGTAGTAGGAACGTGTTTACACGCCACTGTGAAAGAGGACAGGAATGTGGTGAGCGGGAACAGAAGACAGGCCAAAGAGGCATTAAAAATGTACACCGTGCTTTTAGAACAAAAGCCCTGGGTCAGAAAAGCAATTCTGCTAAGAAATGAATAGGACTATACTTGTAATCTAAACGAAGCATCTCCATTATAGTGTGTGCCTTTTGTAAAAGAGAAAGAGAGAAAAGCAAAGCAGGAATGTGGCCTTAGGATGAAACTGGAATATCCATGCTTATTGCAACTGTGGGTTTAGTGAGAATGTTCTGCAAACCACATAGTAGGCCATTTTCAGATCAGCAGTCACCCGTCTCTTAGATCTAAAAACCCCAAAGGTGAACCTCAAGCTTGTGAATATCACAGGCTTCACCATTCAGAAATGTGCCCTGTGCTTTCCGTGTCTGTGCTGATAACAACCAAGTCAGTCTCCCAGCCTCACACCCACTTTCCTCTGAGGACCTACAAACAGACTGGGTCTGAGTCTCTCCCAGGCCACATCTAATGCCCTTAAAGGACTGATATCAGAAAGAAAAAAAAAAAAAAAAAGATTGGTATCAGTAACGTGGCTCCCCTCTGCCTAGGCATCCCTTTACTACTGTTCAGCTACTTGGACATGCGGGAAGGTAAAGGGATCTGGGAACTAGAGGACTTCAGTTCCCAGTGTTTGTGTAGATAGGGATCATCCAGGAACTCGTTAAAATGCTGATTGTCAGGACCCTCCCCCAGACAGTGGGTGGGGACCAGGGGAAAGACTGGAGGTGAGCTCCCAGGTGCCTGACCCATGTGGTCCAAAAATTACTCTTCAACACACACTGTTTGAGAAGCGTGACTGTCCCAGGCAACGGGAGAAGTGAGAAGAGCCTCTCTGAGTTTTTTAAACACTTCTGCAAGTACCTGCTGACTCACCTCTGTACAGCCCCTCCCAGCCACCATTTAGGACTAGACTTCCTTGTTTTTCAGTCATGTGCTTTATCTTCTCAGTACTCTGCTGCACCCCAATCCATCATCCCTCTGCGGGCCTGCAATGAGCTGGTAGCGCTGTGCCAAGCCCCGGGGTTGTGGAACAGCTGCCAATGCTAGAAAGGCACAGCCTACTTTTGAATGGAATCCCTGCATTCCCACTGAGAGCTACCCAGTCACCCAGGGAAAGATAACGTGCTAAGCTGTAATTAGATAATACTTTAGCAATTAGTTAATTGTCTGAGAAAACCCAGGGGTGGATGTAGGCACAGGGACACCACGAGGGAGGTGGGAGGGTTCTAAAGTTAGACTGCATCAACCTCGCAGATGAAACAGTTCAGCAGGGAGGGCACAGGTGAGCCTGGAAAGAGGAAGGACATCTGCTCTGAAATGCCCTATCCTCCCATGTTCTCACCCCAGGGCCAGAAGTAGGTCTGCAACTGCCTTGGAAAGATTATGGCCCTTAGCCGCCCCACCCCCGCCATCTGCTACAGCCAAGGAGGCCGCAAAGACTCTGGTACCCAGCTCTGCACCCCGCCCTCTGAGCAGCCTGGAAGGCTCGTGGACAGGTGTACCTCAACTCACAGAACAGCCATGCTCCTAACGTATGTGCACACTTTTATAACTCATCTCCTGACTGTACTTGAGAAGTTGGCTACTTAAAGGAACCCAGAGGTGAATTCTTTTGTAAAGAAGCCTTTTGTAATGCAATGAATTATCCCTTAATGTATCTGTTTTGTAAGTTTGGATTTTTTGTATATCGGGTTTACCTTAAGCTTCTCTACTGAGGCATTCTGAGCAGTGGTGATAACATTGCCAGACCGCCCTGCCTCTCCACCAGGCAAATGACCAGTGCACAGCGCCGCCGGTAGCCTCGGGGGACCTGCTTGGCCGAAACCGTGGCCAGGATGCGGCCAGCAGCAGCAGGGGCTGCCAGCGAGCTTACCGCCATCGGCACTGCTTGAAATGCGTCCTGGTTCGGGGTGAAGAAAAACAAAGCTTAATTGCTTGTGGTGAAACGAAGCTGTCTTCATGTTAAGTAGCAATGATTATTTTTATCGGTAGTGATTGAACAGTGTTTTTGCAATTTGTGAAACAGTATGTTGTGTTTTGTAAAAAGATTTCATGAAATGGTAGGCCCTTTGGAAACCTTCCTTTCTCTTCTGCCCCACCTCTGTTCTCTCAGCTCTCCTCTGGCTCAAAAACACCAAGATCAGAAGTCCTCGGGTAAAGGTGGTATTTTGGTAAAGAAGGATGCCAAGGATGCTGCTACCTTGCCTCCTCTTGTGGGCTCTTATTCAGGAGATCAGGAAGGCCATTCTTTTCTGAGCCCTGGTGCTGGGAAGCCTGGAACTTGGCATGATTATGTCACACACCCCCAACCCTGTTTTCCGAGGCAGAATTCCTGGCACAGGAAGCACACAATAAATTATGACTGAGTGAGTTAGAACAGATGGGTGCACATAAACAATAATGAAGGCCCCAGAGCATGGATGCCTCAAGGTAGAGGACAAGGGATTCCTCCAACAGTTAAAGACAAGTTGAAAGAATGACTGGGACAAACAAGTGAGGCAGCCACAGGGGCCCTATCAGTCGAGGTCTTTAATGTGCCTGGAGGTGACTCTCCATTATTCATGGAGCTTGCTGCTGCACAAACTCCATACAGGACCCGCTGCTTCTGTGCCAACCAGAGAAGTGTTAAGAGGAGCAGCTGCCAAGGAGAACAGAGCTTTGTCACAGGGGCAATGGGCTTCTCAGTGTTGGTGTTGGGTCTGCCTGGCCTTGCAGCTAGTGAGCTCTCCTGGGTGTGGATAAAGAAGGAAGGGGAAAGAAACTACTTTAGAGCCTCTCTTCCTCCCAACTCAGATTTTTGATAAGCAAACCAGGAAATCCAGTCTTCAGAAGAAACTTTCTAGTCATCAAAACCACTATCTTCACCGTTCAGTCATTCCTTTCTTCACCCACCAACACCATCCATCTTTTCCAGGATTCCCTCACCTTTATTTTAGTTTAGTTCCTAATCATTTTATGAAAATAATGTACTTAAAAGTATTTTCTTAAGGTTTGTAATGAGTGTTTGCATTGTGTCTTCATTCTAATGTGTTTGCGATCGCTCCGCTCCAGGAAGAAGTGAAATGCTGTCTTGTGAGCATGAAGTGAACAGGCTGTTTTGCTCCAGCCACTTTTCTTGTACAACCACGTGGATGGACTAGATGTCCTCAAGTCTTTTCCATCTTCAGTTTCTATGACTGTGGAATAAATGTTCAGATAGAAACTTCATTTTCAATGGACTGCTGGCATTGTCTTTGGGGACTTGGCATTGTCTTTGGGGATTCAAACGTTGATGTGGTACCAGCACCTTCCTCACAGGTACCAGGCCTGCTGATGCTGTCATCTGTGCTTAATTCCTGAGCATAATCCAAAGTGCCACAAAATCTGCTTGGAAAACTCAAGAGCCCTGGCATCATGAAGTAGAACAGAAATGTCTTTGTCTGAGAGAGACTTTCAGGAAAAGCCACAATATTAAGAGAGGACTCAAAACGTTTCCTCTACCTACCCTTGTTAGTAATTCAACAAACGTGTGCTCAACAGTTTGTCTTTATGTGCCAAGGGCTGGAGACACACGAGTGTATGAGATGGGTATGGTCTCTAACCTCAGGGACCCCTCACAATCTGTCCTTTTCATTCCCCAGAAACAGACAATACTCTAAGAACTAACATTTGTTGATCACTTATTTTATAAACCGTGATCTCACATAATCCTCATTATAACCTCATGACACATGGACTCTAGACCGAGAGCAGATACACTAGACCTGTAGTTTATAGGTGGAAAAACTAAGGATCAGGGAATTATGTGGATTGCCTAAGGTCACCCAGCTTTTAATAGGAGTAGCAGAGATTCTTTATGCAGGCAGTGGTTTCCAGGACAACCACACAGCACTGCCAGGATTCCAATCGTTGCCTTGCAACCTCTTCTTCCCCAAACTCCCCTTTAGTCTTTCTGCCCATCACCTCTGGCGGATGCCTCGGCCTGGCTCCCAGCTCCGCAGAGAGGGAACCTGATGCAGCGACGGCACCTGCACTCGTCCGCGGAACTAACACTATTGCCCGAGTCTTGCAGAAATAGTTTTAGGCACCTCTTTTTGCTTTCTTGTCCAACCAAGAGCCAGTATAAATACAGCTGCAAATCCCAAAGCAGTCCTGCAGTCTCGGGTGTCCTGCTGCCTCCGACAAGTCAGGCCGTGTTAGCTGCTGGCAAACTTGCCGCCATGCATTTGCTGGCTCGGTGCATTCTACACACACATTCTTTTGGAATAAACCCAAGTCAAATCTCATAAAAATATAAATCTACTATAACCGAATTCAGCCAACTTATCCAAGGATGTTTTGCATCATTCAGTCATTCATTTGTTGGATTTTAGCCAGGCATTGGGGCTAGCCGCTGGAGATGGAAAGATAAAAAAGCAGATTCCAATCCCATGGAACTCAAAGTCTATTGGGGAGACACGAACTGGCAAAGCAATGTGGCCTGTACTCTGATAAAGAAACACACATCAGATACTATGAGAACAAAGAGAATACTTTCATGTGCACACGTATATGTGTGGTGGATAATAGGCATCCCAGGTAAAAGAAACATATGCAACGTCCCAGAGTTGGGAAACCATGGAAATCAGGCAACTTAGGGACATCATGTAGTTCGATATGACAAAAACAGAAAGCAGAGGGTGGTTGGTAAGTTATAAGGAAAGAAAAAAAGCAGAGGCAAAATCATTGCGCTACCTTGGATTTGTATCCCAAAGACTAGAGGAACTATTAAAGGATTTTAATCTGAAGAGGGACATACATAAAAGATCAGAATCCTCACCACTGGGTGGAACTGCCTCTCATTCACAAACATTGAGTTTGCTTGTAAGGCAGTGAGCATATGAAGTTAGATTTTTGATGTTTTGGAATGACTTAGCCATGGTATCATTTAACCAGGACTAGTGGACTGAGACAGAGACGAACATATGCATCCTAGATTCCAAAGAGAATGTCAGCATTATCCTAGAAATAGGAAAAAAATGTAGAAGAAAAATCGACCCCTCAATTTCTTTATTCACAATAAAAGTTACTACTTAGCAGCGCCTGGCACCTGTGCATCATAACCTGATGCCTAAGTAGTCTGTTTGTCCCCAAGCCAACAAAGTTATGCTCAAGACTGCCTTGCAAGCACAAAGCAGCAACGGAGAGTATCGTACCACTGACTGCAAATGCACTATGTCCAGTAGCAGGGCCTGACCGCACTGTGGATGTGTGCGTGTGAGTGCGCGTGCGTGTATGTGTGTTGGGACTGGGGGTTGAGGGGGTCCGGGGATCCGTGGCCTCTTTGATGACACTGTAAGATTCCCCAGTTAAACTCGGTTCTTAACAACATACCACATGACGGGGAAATTCATCCCAAGTCTTGCTGATCACAGGTAGTGACCACAGAAGGACAAGGAATTTGTCCTTAGCCATCTCCTAGGACAGGGGGTGACCCAGAGGGGGTTCATTTTACACGACCCCATGCCAAAGATGTAAGACGTCAGGCTGGCGGGTTAGGATAAAACTGAAAATTCAAGAACTTGCAACTTAAAAATGCCAGACAGCCTCATACTCCCTGGCAAACAAATCGCAGTCTCTCACCCCGACAGTGAACCACGGAAGAGAACCGAGAAGAGTCAGATGAGCCAGTATCTTTTAAGCATCATCTCCCCCTAGAACAGACTCAATAAAACAGCTAGGAGAAAAATGCTTCAATTAATCAAAGAAACAAATAACTTAATCACAATTAGCCTCTTATTCTAAGTTGATTATTTCTGTTCAAGAGAATTCTATTTTAGAACAGCAGGTATAAATTAACTAATAATGACAAATCCGAAAGTTTCAAAGAAAAACACAAACACAAAAGCAAACTGAATCCTTCTTTATTTGAAGCTTGAGGAATATAAAGTTTTACAAGAAGATTACAGAGTACCTTCTGGAAAACAGGGGTCACAACCACCTCTGTGGAGAGGCTGATGAGCGAAATTCATAGCTCACCTAGGTCTCCCTGAGTCGCGTTCCCGGAGTACCCAGTAGCTCTCTTTAGCATCTCAGTACTGTTGCCCATCCTCTCCAATCTTGATTTCATTTTGAGAAAAAAGGGGCTACAGTATCTGAAATTAACAGGCCTCAAGAAATTTAAAGAATTTAATGAGTAGAACATTCAAAACTTAAATAACTTCAACAAGGAAGCCAGCTGATCTTAACAAGTTACTTTGCTACTGAATAAAAAATGATTTGCGTCATCCTGGAAATATTTCATTAAGGCTTCAAACCATCCAGGAAAGAATAGCACAGTTATAATAACATTTTGTAACCCAAGTTTACAAAAAGTTTACTACCCAAATCCAGAAACGCTCATGCCCATCGATAGGTTATGTCTAAAAGATCGCACACGCTCCCTTCCCCGAACAGCTGTGTGTCTCGTCTGTTCCCCAGTCCCTTCTCCATGCGAAAATACCAACTTCACTTCTTCAGGTGGAATGGACAATCCAAGATTTTACAATGAGCCTGAAGAGGAAAAGGTTGAAAAGTCTGAAAGCAGGAAATAAACAAGACTGGTAGGGAGACAAATAAGAATTGTTTGGAGACAAATAAGAATTGTTTGTTTCTAATTCATTCTATAACCTAAGACTTGCATTTACCAGTCCTTTCCCCTGACGTCACCTAGCTATGAGAGAACCTAGAGGTCAAGTCTGTGAAGGACAGGTAGTTGACAAAGTGCCCTGTGAGTGACTGTCAAGGGGGGAAGAGGTAGAGGTTTGATGGTTAATGTGAAAGTGCCTGTGGAGCCAGCCCCTCCTCTTCTCCTGGCCTGGGTCAACCAATGTAGATGCGATGGAAGTCATTGGCACCAAAAGCAGCGTTACACTTGGGACATTTGCGCTGGCGGGTGTCATAGCGTGTCTTCACACACTCAAAGCAGAAAACGTGGAAACACTTGGTAAGCACAGCATCCTTTTTACGCATGTTGCAGCAGGGACAGGTCAGGCGAGCCTAAAACAGAAGGACAGAGTCTGAGCAACCGTAAAGGCTTATGATCTGAGTGGCACACAAACAGAAGCAAACAACAAAATCCGCTGAGTGCTAAGTACCATTTTTCCCCCCCAAAATAAACCACTCTCTGGTTACCTTCATATAAAGTAGTTCAATATTTATTTTCTGGTCTGTTAGCAGGCTGCTTCAGAAGCCAATTAACAAAAAACAAACAAATCAACCCACACCGCAAAGCAATCACTGAGATAGTTTTCCTTACCTTGTAATCTTTTATCTCCTCCATCAGAATCTCATCGCATTTGGGCACGTTATCTGGTTTCTTTGTGGTCTCCAGCTTCCTTCGAAGTCTAGAGATGTCCTCCTGTGGTAGGACAGCACACCCATTAGACACACTCCCCCAGGCCTGCCATCTGCGACAGAGAGAACCGCTCCAACCTGAACCTTCTATTGTGGGCAGAAGTCATTTCGTGCCCAATTGTCTTTTAGGAATGTAGAGAATTGCAAACAGCAAGACATTTTCTTTGTTTCAAAATAGGCAACTGGGGTCACATCACCAAACGAAAGTTGAAAGTCGCACTGAACTATGGTCAATTTCAGTATTGTGAATATACAGTCTAAGAATTTAGAGGGATTACATTTTTTAAAAAAGAAAAAACTTGATGGACACTTTATTTTAAGGCAATTAGTTTTAAGCTAAAGGTAGATTGGATTAAAATAATTAACAGATTTATGGACAAGATCAGAAAAACTGACATGCCAAAAATAGAAAACTCATAAGAGAACTTTAAAGTCCTCTAATGTAGGTATGTTGTCACTTATTTACTAATTCATACACTTAGTAAGTATTTACTCCATGCCCACTTCATGCCTAACCCTGTGACAGGCTTTGGGGACACAGCAGTGAAGAAAACAGACTCAGGTCTCTTCACTTGAGGAAATTCAGTCAAACAGGAAAGGACATACTTTAGACCAATGACTCTTTCATAAGATGGGTCCTCTGAGAGCTCAGAAAATACCTAACAAGTAAAACCTAAAGAAAAAAGAACTGCTCTTACCTGGGCTCGTTTAAAATTAAACATGTCCTTTTCTTTGGTGACACTATTCTCCACGATCTCATCCTGAAAATCATGCAACTTCTTCTGAGCCAACTCCAATTGTGCTTTGAGGTCATCTGCAAGCTGGGCTGCCTCCATTGCCTACATGGGATGTATGAATAATGTCATCTTATCACCTCTTACTATTTCCAGTGAGCCAAAATGTTACCCCAAGTCCAAGGGATAAGGCGAGCCTATAATTTCATCGGCGTCATACATATTTGTCCCTCTGAGACAGATTGTCACTTTAGATTACAGAGCAATCGATCATACCTTACGTTTATTCATCTCTAAAGCCTGGGTCCTAAGACCCAGCTCCTTCTCCCCGGTGCCAATGTTGCTTTGTAACAGATGTTCCTTCTCTTCCAATTTCCTTACCACCTGTAACTGGGCATCGACCTTGAAAGAAGAAAATCAGATTTTAACACAAACAGGGAGAAAAAGAAACACCGACTAGGCTCTGTTAATCCACAGGCCCACAAATGAGAATATCAGAAATCTCAAACTATTGCTGATTTTTACCCATGAACCCTACAGATTAGAATAATTAAAAGCTTCACTTTTTAACACAAAAATATATTGCTGATGATTCAGAGAGTGTGGGCAACCATGGAAAAGATTCTCTCCAAATTGCCAAGAACAGATGAAGTTACATTGATAAGATATTTATCTTTTCCGGCCACACAATCCTTGTAAGCCTGGCAATTCATACTAGAACATGTATATCATAGCTCAAACAAAAGTCCAGGTGTATCTCTTTCAGAATGGCTGGAGGTTCAAAAGTAGTCATTTTCCTGAAATTCATGCACAAAATAGAATCAAACAATCTTAAGCAGTAAAAAAGTAGAGCCACACACCCACAATGTCTGATCCCAACATCCAGAAGTAATTAGGTAACACTCACCAGTTCTCATGCCACTTTCCAGAAATGTTTAAAATTCACAGCACATGTACACAAAGATATGCATTTTTAACACAAAAGGGATAATAAATCACTTAATGATATATGTTAGATATTTTTCCATATTAGCAGGTCTATATTTGTTTTAAGAGCTACATCATGCTCCTTTGTAGGGATGTTTAATTTATTTACCAGTAACCTAATGATGTACATTCAGTTTTCTGTTTTTCCTGTTACAAAAAAAGTTGCCGCAACCATCACTTTTTAATGCATATTTTCATGTAGAAGTTACCCTACTTCAACAGAATTCTGGAAAGCTCTATTCATTCTAATACCTGAGTCTTCAGGGTCAAAACCTGGTCAGCCAGCTCCTCCTTCTCTTCTTTAAGTAACTTATGGATCTGATTGGACTTGATTCGTTCTGACATGAGTTTGAAATTTGCATCATCCTTCTCCCGCAATTGCTGCATCAAACGGATATTTTGCTCCTGCATGTCTTCAAAGGCCTGGCCTGTGACATCCATCTCAGAGAGGAGAGCTTCTTCCTCCTAAAATAAGGAGAAAAACTTTTCATTTTAATCAAATCATCTGACTTCAAAAAAAATGAGCACCGGAAACTCAACTTTCCCACCGTTTATTTAAAAATAAATTAACCTACTCACAAAGAGACACAGTTATAAGAAGCCTTGTACTGTCCCTGTGTTAGCCGCAGCTGTACAGAAGAAGCCCTGTTATCTGAAGCCACTGGCACTGATAATTGGTCTGACACCGTTAGCTGATCCATTCTCAAGGTCAGTTAAAACAGACAAAAATATTATACATATCAGAATCTAGCAAATCGATCAAGTAGCAGTTGGTTAGGAGAACTTCTAACATAAAACCTCCCATTTTCTCATACTTTTCCTAATTACCATACTGAACTTAATCTACAAACTTTCCAACAGCACTGCAACAGACTGATAGGAGAAGAATATATCTAAAATAGTTTTCTTGTATTTGTGCTATTATAAATGAGCATCTTTTCATATGTCTGAGTCATCTGTATTTTTTCTTCTGTCAACTAGTCATCTTTTGCCTATTATTCCATTGGGTCGGTGGATTTTCTTCCCTATCATTTTTTGGAGTTTTCTTTTTTAATATATTAGAAAGAGAAGCCCTTTTGTGATAAGAGAATTTTTTCCCCTGTCATTTATCTTTTGGCTCTGCTAACAGTGGTTTTTGCCATTTACAAGTTTTGTGGGGGAGTTTTTCTTCATAAGTCAAAATTATCAATCTTTTCTTTCATGTTTTTAGTTATTTATTAATAGCTAGAAAGGTCTTCTCCACCCCAAATTTTTTGGGAGAACTGACATTTTTAGGATAATGAGTTGTCCTACATAAGAACTTTAGTGTGTCTTTCTACTTGTAATACAACCTACAGTAGTACTATTTCCTGGTAATTATTTAAGAGAGAGAGAAAAAAGGAGGAGTGGCAATCAACAGATTTAATGAGTCAAAACCCCACTTTTTATAAAAGGACTGTATACAGGTTCTAATAAGTTCCTCTTTTAAAGGTACTTAATGATCTAGTCACCATGAGAAATAATTTCATTGTCCTTTTGCTATTTCTTAGAAACTAGTGAAGGTGTTTCTCATGGTAAATATGGTTTTCCCAAGCATTTTTTATATCTTTATTACTGAATGTTAGTAAATTCACTAGGACTTAAAGAAATACACGCTCATTATCAGAAGGGAAAAGTCTCTTTAGTTCCATGACACACACCGCAACCACCGTCGAGACACTGGGTATTTATTTATAACCTGCTTGGGACACATGTTTTTCTTAGTTTTGTGTATTTATAATCATTATCTGTATAAAATTTTATATTTTTCTTTTTAACTTAATATTCATTATACCCCCTGATTCCAGATCAGCAGAGAAAGGACAGTCCCCTCAATAAACAATGTTGTCTGAACAACATGCTATATTTGAAAATAAAAGTGAACTTCATGTCTCACAAATACACACAACAAAATAACTGAAGGATGAAAGATTCAATGTAAAACAAACAAACATACATACAGGAGAAAAAATATTTTTAAAAAAGACTGGAGCCCTGGATGGTGTGGCTCAGTGGACTGAGTACTGGCCTGCAAACTGAAAGGTCATCGGTTCCATCCCCAACCAGGGCAAATCCCTGGGTTGCAGGCCAGGTCCCCAGTTGGGGGCATGCAAGAGGCAACCAATCGATGTTTTCTTGCACATTGATGTTTCTCTCCGTCTCTTTCTCCCTTCCTTCCCCTCCCTCTAAAAATAAATAAAATCTTAAAAAAAAAAAAGACTGAATGAAAGTGCAAACTTCACTGTCAATAACTTAATGACTTACTTGTCGGATAACATGGTCTTCAAAAGCTCATCAAATAAAGAAAGCGCACCCACCTGCTTGGCCATGGCCAGCTTCTTCTGCAGGTACTCTATCTGCTCCTCCACTGCCCGGATCTTCCTCAGGGCATCCTCATCAGCCATTTTCTTGTTCTCTTTTTTCTCCTTATCCTCTAGATCCTTGAGTCTTTGCCTTAGATCTTCCAACTACAGGAGGAATCACAGAAAAACAAAGAAAAAGCTATGATAAAACTTCAAAAATCCACTGATACTGTACACAGATGGAGGACCCATAACATCAAAAGCGCGTTTAGAGAATTATGAAAGGAGATAAATGATATACCAGTACACCACATCAAAACACTGTTTTAACATCACTCCATTACATGCTTCTGTAAACAACAGTTCTGAGGAGTGCACATGTATGGTTCTCTAGAATAATAGTTCTCACCATTTTTGTTTTCCTTAGGCTCCAGAATTTTGAGAGAATAAGACATTCTTCCCAAAAGTAATCCGAAACAAGAATCATTAAAACAATGATTTTTTTATAGGTAAGGGTGGATAAAAAGTTAAAAAGACTACTCCTAATCCCAGTAACTTTGATATGCCTTACCCACCACCTAGTGGAGAGTGTGGAAATCTCTATTTCAGATGGTCTTTGAAAGGGAAGGAAATGCTGCTAAGTTTTAAGCACTAACTTTAAAGAGAAGGAAACTATCCTTCGGAAGTGTGAAGAAAAATCCCACAAGGGCAGATTATACCCCAAGCAAGAGGTGACGGCGGACTAGGTTACCTCTGCCTTAGACTTCTTCTCAGCTGCCATTAGCTGAACTTTGTCTCTCTGTTCCTTCGGGGCGGAGCGGTACATATCTAGCAACAGTTTCATCTCCTTCTGGCTCTCCTGTGCCTTCCTAGGATGAGGGCGGTAGAGGAAGGAGAATGGTGCAATGAGAAAGCAAAGGGCACCGCAGCAAGGGAATTTCAAATTGAGCAAAATATTTTACAACAGTTCTATTTTACACTTTATATCACACATCTCAAAGACAAAACCTGCACAGACTACCAAGAGACTTCTGTATATACTCAGTAAGTACAGTAGAAAAGTTGTATAAAGGAATCATTTCTCCTTGCAGACCAAGTTCCCTAACATAAAGTTAGCAAATAAACACTTGTGGCCCTTATTAAACAGGCAAATTTCTGGGCCCTCACTCTTAGAAACCGATATTCAACAGGTCTGAGCTGGGATCCAGGACTGCAGTTAAGTAAGACACCCAAATGATTCTGATACCACACTTGAAAAAACCCTTTGCCATAAAGATACCAAGAGGAAGGAAGAAGAAAAGGTAGAGATAAAAATCAAACATTTAAAATATACTGCTATTCCTAGATTTGATAGTTAAATGATTAACCATCATCAGCCAAAGATGAAAACTTCGCCTCTTACTAAATTATCAAACCTCTTATCAATACTTGTATATACCAAAGAAGTGCAAACATTTTGGGCACAGTGGCCCCTCAAATCCAAACATCAATAAAGGCTTAACCATGACCAATGTGAGGCAAGAAGGAACCAGTTCTGCCAGAGAAGTTATTAGATAAGAAGGAAGAGGAGGGGCAATGTGTGAGGTCTGACAGTGCTTCATTGACCTAAAGAGCTGTTTTACTCTTTTAATGCTTGTAGCAATAAACTTCCTAAGAGCCCCAACTGGTGTGGCTCAGTGGGTTGAGCATCACTCCACAGACCAAAAAGTCTCCGGTTTGATTCCCAGGCAGGGCACATGCCAGGTTGCGGGCCAGATGCCTGACTGGGGGGCATGCAAGAGGCAACGGACCGATGTTTTATATCACACATCCATGTTTCTCCCTCTCTCTTTCTCCCTCCCTCCCCCTCTCTCTAAAAGTAAACAAAACATCTTATAAAAAAATAAATCTCTTGAAATGACTTGATAAGCACACAAACTAGTTAACTGCCAAGCAAACAGATCAGTATTATTCAAATTATAGTGATACATACTCTATCCTAATTTAAATTACAATTAATGCCAGCAATCTGCCAGTGGTTAAATTCAATAATTCTTATGAGTGTTACTTCAATCATGAAACCCCTTCCCTTAACTTGGATTCATGAGAAAAAAAGCCACAACCATGGGGTTTACTGAGACCTGACCACCAAAATGAACTACACAATAGCCATGCAGGTCATTTTGGCTCTACACTTGATCCAGAATTGAGACCACATTAACTGTGCATTTAGTTACACTCAAAATAATATAATGATCAGATAAGCCATGCCATCAACCAAACAGCTCATGCATGATGTCCTAGCTTGTTTAACTTTTAGGTCAGAAAGTTACTCTAAACATTGCTCTTACTTGAGTTCAATCTTCAATTGTTTGATAATTTCTGCTTCCTTTTTCCTTCCATCATCGTGTTTCCCTTTCTCTTTTTCCTTAGCAGAATCTCTCTCTTTTTCTGACTCTTTAAGTTTCTGCTTCTCTCGTTCTCTCTCCTTTTCCTTCTCCCGCTCTCTTTCTCGCTCCCTCTCTTTCTCCCTCCTTTCTCGTTCTCGCTCTTCCTCATCCCGTTTGGACTTGATTTCGTTGACTTCCTCCTGAGGCGCCTTCGCTGCGGAGGGCTGGGCAGATGGCTCCTCAGGATCCGGTTTGACCTCTGCAGGCTCGTCCTTCGGGTCCTCAGTGCTAGACTGAGACTGCAGGAGGGCACTGCCACTGCGCAGACGTGTCTGGGAGGACAAAGAAAGGGAACGAGCACATCACGCATGGCAACCACGCTGCTTTCCTCACTCGGAAACAGCTTTACAAACTGAATAGCAAGCACTACTTATTCTACTCCTCCTGGTTACCTTGTTCAGGTCCGACTGGGCTTCTCTCAGCTTCCGCTTATACCTTAGGACCTCCCCTTTCAGCTGGTGATTGTGGTTCTGGAGGCTGCTGATGAGGTGGCGCATCTCCCGGTTTATGGGGCCTTAAATACAGCAACAGCAATGTTATTAAGAGCTGCGGAAGGCAAAGGCACAGGGGAGACAGGACAGAATGCACACATCAGGGACTCTAAGAAATAGCGAAAATTGCCAAAAGAAAAAGTCCTCATCGGATGATGAAAACAAAACTGGCCAATTTGAGTTAAAAACAAACACTCAGGCTGTGAACCAAAATGAATTACAGGACTTGGTTTTAGGCTCTTCAGGATTCCTGAACTCCAGTTACTACTAGCAAATCCCAGTAACTATGCTGTGTCTTTCAAGGAAAGCATGTGCAGCAGCCAGACTGCAGGGAGGAGCAGTAACAACTATACCTGCTTGTTCATTCGCAGCAAGGGTCTGCTCAAACTCTATCCTCAGCATCTCATATTCCTTGCGGACCTGGGCCAGGGTATCTTCTAGCTGGATCACTTCAGTCCTCAGCTTCTTATGAAGACTAACCTCATCTCGCTACACACAGAAAAAGGAACCAATCAAAAACCCTTATCAAAATGGTGGAAATATATTATATTTGTCCCCTAAATTCAATATTTATGGAGCTAAGAAGAAAAAAAGAAAATAGCAAGAAAAGAGAGATATACACTGAAAAATTCCAACTCAATTAATACTTACTAAGCACCAGTTAGAAAACACTGACTTGAAAACCAGCCAGATAGTAAAGAGATAAAGGAAATGGCCCCTACCTCTGAGAATGTTACAATTTAGTTGGAGAACTAAGCAATAAGACAAAACATAAGCATATGTAAAGTAAGATATATTCAGTTCATTTGGCAGAAATAGAACAAAAGACCAACTACTCTAAACACTGCCTTACGGACTACAGAAGTGAACACATAAATAAAAGTTTCTGCCTTTAAGAGAAGTACTTACACAGGCACTGTAAGCTATCGTGGCGTGTGAAGCAGTGACGCAGCTTCCATCCTCTATTCTCCCCCAGGCACATAAGGCTCCAGCCACACTCACCTACTTTTATGTCTGCTGTTCTCACTGCTGAATACCTTTCTCCTATTTTTATCTACCAGTAAATTTGTATTTACCCATAAGATTCCTACTTTATTTTGGCAAGTGGAAACAAGCAGATTCGAGTCAAATCTGATGCTATCTCCGCTATCACCAGGATGTGCCTCTATTGCACCACACTGCACTTGAATGGATGCTGTGCTCCCCACCAGACTGTATGATTCTGGACGGCAAGATGCCCGCCAGCTGGCAGAGTAAAAACCTACAGCCATTCTGTAAGCATTTGCTGAATGAGTAAGAGATTAACTGCACATGAGAGAATAAAATTAAAAATTTATGAAGCAGAAAAAGCTTATAAACAGAAGTCAAAGTTACTTGGTACCTCAATGAGCTCCACCTGGCGCTGGTGGGTCCCCCTTGTGCCATGGAGCAGGGTCCGAGCCTCGTCCAAGTGCGCTTTCAGCTGCAGGCTCTCATTGTACAGGACAGAGAATTGTGACTGCATGCAGCGATATTCCGGAGTCTCCTTCACCACTTCCTCCACCGCGCTCCGCAGTTCCACCTCGGGAGGACCCAAAGAAAAGAGAGTCAGAAGCAGAATTTTGCATCTGTGCCCTATATGCTAGACAGGAAATAAAACCTTAAACTCACAGACATCCTGTGCAATTGAGATAAGCTCTATGAAGATTATGAAGTAGGTCTACTGACTCCTCTGGATATGTAAAATCCACCTCAAATTAAATTCGACCACCCAAGGGGTGGTACCTGGTACCTGTATTCTTCCACCCAAGAACTGTTTTAATTGATCAGTGTTTTTATATTATGTGTCAACCTAGATTCAAGGATACTAGAAAAGCCCTGTGAAATCTGTCAGATTTAAGGACGGCGGCGAGCACTATGAAGTTTGTCAGGATGCTTATTTTAAGAACACAATAAGGACCCCAGTACTAACTTATTCTCTTTAACAGTCACAGAAAAAAATATTTTTGATATTGTATCAAAAATAGTTACGCTTCTCCTAAGCAACTGTCTGCTTCGATTACCCAAATACTTCAACAGATTTAACTCAGGTTGTTTTTCAGTTCAAACATCTTTCTTCAAATATTTACCTATAAATAAATCAAATTACATAAAGACAGGTGGCTGTGATTGAAAAGAGAAACAGATGACTTTCAGAATCCACTTTCTTTCCCCCAAACACCCGAGGAGAGAAAATTCCAATGGGCAGGTTTGAAAACCAGCAGGATCATTCGCCACTTTTCTTTCTCTGTCTCGGCAGCTAGAAACTGCAGAGCCCAATTCTGTGGCCCACGTCTGGCAGTCGCTGACATGGGAGTGGCCTGTCCTCCTACGGTGCATACGTGTTCCTGACGTATAGCTCATGAACAAGCCCCACTTATTTTTAATCCTCACCCCAGGATGTGTTTACTGATTTTTAAAGAGAGAGGGAGGGGGAAGTAGGGGTAGAAAAAGAGAAACATCAACTCATTGCTTCCTGCACACGCCCAGACTGGGAATCAAACCCACAAGTTAGGTAGGTGCCCTGACCTGGGACCGAACCTGCAACATTTTGGTTTACGGGACAACACCCCAACCAACTGGGCCATCCAACCAAGGCACGGCTCCATTTTTTTAAATCCATTCTGGATCCTCACCCTAGTTTATCCTACTTCTCATTTTTCTCAACAATTCCTAAGTTACAGTACCTTGATTCAGTCTATATATCTTTGTAGGTTGCTTTAAATCTTTTTCAGAATGAGGCAGGATACAAATATATAAGTACATAAATAAATACAGATACACCAATTTTCCTTCATATATTATGAGGGTTCACAAGTACGTACACGAGTTGGCCAGCAAAACGTTTGACTTCACTCCCCGTGAGAGATGTGTCTCCTACCTTCAGCTTTTCGTTTTGTGCAGTGACCTCATCGAAGTCTTGCCGAAGTTTCTCCAGCTCACAGTGACGGTTCTGAGCCAACTCTTTGTTCTCCTCGAGCTCTGCATTCATTTCCTCAAACTGGAGAGAAGCAGAAGAATAGTAAAACGAGAAGAAAGGACAAGAATTTTTAAATCATCCCCACTCCTAAGTTTCTGTCTTCACTGATTCACTTGAGAATGCGACCCTAAGTACCGAGCAGAACGTTGACACCAGGTCAAACACATGGCCTGAGAGTGACTGATTTTACCTTCCGAGCATTGATGGTTATTGTGCCGCCATAGAGACTGCTTCCTGCTCCATACACCTTATAACCTTTCGAATTCACCTACAGAGAGGACAAAGAGTCTTCAGTGGGACAGCAAAATCTCAGTCTGGTAACCAAAGCAGCTTCAAAGCAGTCCCTCTGTCCCCCAGAACTACTACCCAAGCCCATCCTTTCTGAGCAGGCTCCTTAAAATGATTCTAATCTCCAAGCTGTAAGTAAAACAGCACTTGCCCGTTCTAGGACTTCTGCTAAGTGTCGGTTGAGTCGCTGTTCCCTCTTTCGAATTTTGTCAATATCCCACTGCAGGTCATCAATCATGGACTCTAGGACAGACACTCGTGACTCAGCCGTCTCCACTTTACCCTGCAACTTGGAGAACTACATCCCAAAGATGGGCATGCAGAAAAATATAGGGGGGGAAAAAAAAAAAAAAGACCAAGTTAAAAAAAAAAAAAAAAGCCTTGCATCAGTACCTTTTTCCTGATACATGAATATAAAAATGAAATTACAGGTTCTTTTAACAGTTCTGAATAAGTTACAATCATGAAAACCATAGAAGTTTATAAGAACTCTCATACAAAGAAAAGACTACTTAAGATTCAGTAATTGTTCTACCTCAGGGAAGCATCATTTCTCTAGACAGAACAAAACCCACCAGAACATGTGTATTTTTTGAGAGACAAAAGATAATGTCCTTGATTTTATCAGATAATTATAGGAGAAAAATTCAAATATATATTTAAAAAAGACCCTCAACTTTTCCTTCCACATTTCCACAAATGATAACACAAAGAGAACAAAAGGAAAACTTCCATTTTCTTTTCCAAGCTCACCCCAGGGCAATCTTAAATTAGACACTATAAAGATATAAAAATCTTTGTTGTTTTCTGTTTATCTAGGAGCTCCACACCAGCTAACACTATTTAATGCTCTGATCATAAAACTGTTACATGTGCACATTAATCTATACACACCCCTTGTGTTGAGCTTAAAATATGGCCCCAAATATCTTTGACAGGCCTCCAACCAAGAAGCGGGATCACTGTTTCCTTCTCAAGACGCTGAGACAACGGTAGTGACTCCGTGGAAATGCTGCATAGCTTTGAGGCTATGTCTGAAAGGCTATGAAGGTTCTGCCTGGTGTTCCTGGGACATTCATTCTCTGAAAGAAGTCAGCTGCCTTACAGGCAGTGTAACTACCCTGAAACTGCCATGGTGGAGAGGCAAGGTGCAGATGTCCCAGACGACAGGAGCGGTAACAGCTGGCCACGATGCCATCTTAGACATCAGCTCAGCTGAGCAAAGCAATGCCTCTCCCCAGCTCCGTAAACCTCAGTGAGGTGTGGGGAAGGCCTAGAGGAGGAAGGCGCTGTCACCTGGGCAGCAACTAGTTTCCCTTAAGGCATGACCACAGAGTTACTCTATTTTTTTTCTACACTCCAATTTATGTCTAAGCACTGTTTCACTCTAACCCCTTTGAAGGCTGATGAGAATCCACATGTATTAAAAAAAATTTCTCTGGTGCTTCTCATGCAACCAGCCCAGCACAGACGTTGGCCCTGGGGATTAAGAAACAAGGGCACAATGCAGAACACAGGCTTTGAAGTTAAACAGACCTACATCCCAGCCACAGTTCCATCACCTTCTGGCTGCGCGCCCGCCTCGCCGTCACCACCCCTCGGAACGCATTTCCTCTGCAGGAACATGGGAGTTCACATTCACAGGAAAGACCCTCTACTCTTCTTTCCTGTATGTTTACTAAGTGCCAAGCACTACGTAAATGATGGCTAAGGTAGGTCAAACTTCAGCAGAATATCCTTTGAACTGAACTACTGATAGAATGATAATCAAGAATCTCAGAAGAGGCGTCTAAGGCCTATCATCACTTATCTCAGTCATTTTATATGAATACACAAATACCCAAACCTTAACATGGCATAGTCATGGCATCATTTGGGTCCAAGTTTGGACTGAAAATCCACATGCCTCACGTTCCTAGGCTCCATTCTCAGATGAGTAGTTCCTATTGCCCCATTCTCAGATGAAGTTCTACCAACCCATTCCTCAGTATCACTGTACATGGTCTTTTATATTTGGGGTAATTCATTATTTGGGGGTTTGGTGTATTGTTTTGTACACACAAGTATTTCTTCCTAAAGACTAAGATCCTAAAATGTTTGGAATAGAAGCATAGTCAAGGAGAAATATTCAATGATTTCTTCCTTTTACAATACCTGGCCTCACATTTTGACTTCTCAGAGCTGGCTACTTTAGCCTGTCCTGTATGCTCTTTAATATATAAAAATAGGCTTTCTAGAGGAAGGTGACTTTTGAGGCACTCAGAATTCAGGCAGTGTCTGCCACAGGGAACTAGAAACTAGCACTCTCCCTTCTGGTCAAGTACCTCCTGAGACATGGTGTGATGCTTCTCCTGAAGGAGGTCTGTCAATTCCTGTAGCCTCATGTTCTCCTGCGTGAGGAAGGAATTCAGGTCCTGCACTGCTTCCTCCACTATCAGATTATCTGAGGGAGAAGAACTATAGTTTAGCATCTGTGTGTTAAATTACAGAACTGCATATCCCACCAAAGCGTTAACATGAAATCTCACTTTATTTCCCAGAAAACATCAAGAATTAGGATGGTTTTTATTATCTGCACAAGACAGATTACCCAGAGGATAGATGACCTGCTTAAGGAAATGGTCACAGAGCCAAGGTCACCTAACTCCCCTGCCTTTCTATAAAGTCAAAATGCCTTGAGAAAAGAAATGGAGAGCCTTGACTGGTGTGGCTCAGTGGGCTGGGTGTCATCCTGCAAACTGAGAGGTCACTGGTTCAATTCCTGGTCAAGGCACATGCCTGGGTTGCAGGCCAGGTCCCCAGTTGGGGGCGTATGAAAGGCAACCAATCAATGTCTCTCTCCCTTTCTTCGTCCCTCCCTTCCCCTCTCTAAAAACAAATAAATATAATATTTCTTTAAAAAAATAAATGGAGAATTTCTGTAACTTTATTCAGATAAGGGAAAACTACCCAAAAAACTGAATTTTATATGAGGTATCTCTTAATCGGTCTGACATAATAGCAATAAAATTCTGTTTTATAAGGCTACCAAAAACTGCTGTTATTCACTAACACTAACATGAAGCACCTCTATGTTGGGAGAGAGGAGACCAGGGAACAGAAATTTCCTTGTTTGAATGAGCACCTATAAAGTCATAAAGAATAAAGAGCATAGAGTTACTGATCATATCCTGGAATACCATGCTACGGGCACTCCTGAAGCTAAAAAACCAAAATGTACGGTTTGATTTACAAAGAAGGTACGTAACCTACAGAACTAATTACACCAAGCTAATAGGTTTAAAGTTAGAGTCACAAATACGAAGCTCAAATCCAAATGTTAGTAAATGAAATCAGACACTGTCCGGACACACACTTTTACAATTAGACACTTCCTGGGACCCATCCTATGCCCACTAACTAAGAATCTCCATAAGCAGGACAAAAAAAAAAAAAAAGAGTAATGCTCTGAAAACACTCAAGTGATTCAGAACCCAAGTTAACAACTAGGGAACAAACTGTAGTCCTCTTCAAGTCCTAAGGTGTCAGGAAAAAAAAGAATACAATAAGAGCTCAAAAATATTTAGTGAATTAATAAACAAGCTGATAAATTCAGTTCTTTTGAATCAATGACCAAATAAACATGGAAAAAAATGAACTGCCAAAACATTGGAGTTGATGCTACAATTCATACTTTATACATCTTTAGCTCTTAGAAAGATCAGCTTATCAATGGCAACTGCCCCTTATGTTATAAATAATAGCTTTGCAATTAGTAACTTGTAAATAATTTTTAACTTAAATCTTAAAATGTATGCCATCAAAAGAATAATTTGAAAGTACTGTTTAATATACTACTCATTTTAGTTCCTTTTTAAATATAACAACTACCTTATTTGATATTCATTTATAAAATCAAGCTTAACACTGACATAACCTTTGCACATGGCATATTATGTGTGTCTAATATGTACATGGTATATACCATAAAACATATGATAGATCCATGAGGCATCTAACTAGGATTTAACAATACCATCTAACTGCTTGAGTACAACCAAGGGAGAAAAAAGTAACACAGCTTGGTTTAGATTAGGTGACAGGGAGGATTTATAGCTGTTCATTTTCCATTAACTAAGTACCACTAGATACCAGATACAGTGCTAGACACTGGAGAAACAAAGAGGAGTAAGCCAAGGCACTGCACCAAGAGACAGAATTTAGCTGGGAATTCACAAATAGATGCAATACATGTATACAAAAGTCTGTTTACAATGGTTATCTTTGAGAAGTGGGATGGGAAGACTTTTATAGTCCACTTGTAAGTTTTTCTGATTTGTTTATTTTAAAACAACCATTACCCAAATAATAAAATACAAAAATACACAAATAGAAAAGCAAAAGAAACTGTTGCCCACCAAATTGTCACAAATCTTTTATATACCTCTTCTTTTAATTCTGTTGGTAATTTAGCCCAAGTATTCTCAAAATCAAAACTACAGAGTAATAAAATTCTTTGCCCGCCCAAAGGTTCAATCTCCATTACACTTAACGTATTTCTTTCAGAAATAAAAGGTTAAACGTATTAATGAAAATCAGAAAAACTAAAATATTACAACTAGATCAACATTATTATTAAAAAATGGGCAAAGGACCTGAACAGACACCTCTCTAATTAAGACATACACAGGGCCCAGGGGCATACGAAAGGTTGCTCAGCATCACTAGCCTTCAGAGAGATGGAAATTAAAACCACAGTGACATACCACTTCACACCAGTCAGACTGCCCATCATAAACAGATCAACAAACAACATGTGCTGGAGAGAATGCAGAGAAAAGGGAACCCTAGTGCACTGTTGGTGGGAATGCAGACTGGTGCAGCCACTGTGGAAAGCAGTGTGGAATTTTCTAAAAAAATTAAAAATGGAACTGCCTTTTGACCCAGCAACTCCACTGCTGGGGTTATACCCTAAGAACCCTGAAACACAAATTCAAAAGAACCTATGCACCCCAATGTTCATTGTACCACAATTTACCATAGACAAGTGCTGGAAGCAACCTAAGTGCCCATCAGTAAATGAGTGGATCAAAAACTGTGGTACATTTACACAATGGAATACTACACAGCAGAAAGAAAGAAGGAGCTCCTACCCTCCATGACAGCATGGATGGAACGGAGAGCATTATGTTAAGTGAAATAAGCCAGGAGGTAACAGACAAATACTATATGACCTCACCTACAGATGGAACCTAATCAACAAAACAAGCAAGCAAAATAGAACCAGAGACACTGAAATAAAGAACAAACTGACAGTAACCAGAAGGGATGGGAGATAAGAGAGGAAAGAAGGGGAAGGGTTGTCAAGGAATATGTATAAAGGACTCATGGACAAACTAAATGGGGGTAGGACTGAGAGTGCGAAGCAGGGGTCGATGCGGGGGGGGGGGGAGAGCAGTGGGGGGTAAAGCAGAGACAACTGTACTTTAACAACCATACCCCCCAGCAAAAAAAAATAACACGAAAGCAGGGCATTTAATAAGAAGATGCAACCTAATTACACAAATACTTTATAATACAAATACAAATTTCTGCATTAACACTGAATAGTATCATACTTGAATATCAAGTATTTGTATTCTAGACACTTTTCCATTCACCATACTTTATCTTTTTAAACAGAGAGATCATCTAACAACTCCAAAACCTTAGCCAACTTTTTGAAATAATTAGATAACAGAAAAACAAAAAACAAGAACATATTAACTGACTTTTGAAGTCAAAACTAAGTAATCAATTAAGGAAATTTTTTAAAAATATAATTACCAAAATTTAAAATATTATCACTAATAAATCAATGGCCAACATTACAAAAACATCCAGAAACAGAGCTTTTTCTTAAATTGATAAAATTAATTCTGCTACTTATACAAATGTAAATTAATAAAGTATTAGAATGGGGCTGATTAAATCTTGCCTCAGCTTCTCACAGTTGCATGGCTCAAAACGAGAAGCCCTCATAGAATACTAACATGCCACAGTAATAATGCAACCAATAACATTGAAGAGTAGGATTCCAAGAAATTCAATTAAAGAAAATATCTAAGTTTGCAAAGTACAAATCATCATGCAAAGGTGAGTTCTTATTCCTCCCTCTCTGCTCCCCGTCTCCTGCTTCTTGCCTCACCTCCACTGTTTAGCTTCCTGGATAAGAGCTCCACTTTTTCTCGCAATTTATCATAAACAGTCACAATCTGGGACACAGCTCGGCGTGAGGACTCCACACGCTCCTGCAGCTGAGATTCTATTTCTTCACTGGAACTGCTGGCCAAAGTAGCAAGGAAAGAGAAGGCTGGCTCTTGTCCTTCCCCTGAAGGACACGGGGAAAAAAATAAAGACCCCAAATTATTCAACTAGAAATATCCAAATTCATTTTCCCCCCTCAAATGGAGAGCCTAAAAGCAAGGCTCTTCCCCCCCCCCCCAAAAAAAAAAATAGCACGCACTGGTAAATCCACCAGATACTCACCTCTGTCGCGGTCATCTTTCCGTTCCTGATTGCTGTCCGAGTCCGGCTCAGGTTCGGGCACAACAAGGGCTTTTCTTTCCGTGAGTAGGTCCCCCAAACTCTGCTCCAGATCATAACGTTTAAGGATGATACGGATGTTTTCATCAAACTGGAGATTAGGGTAGAGAAGATTAGGAGAAGATTATAATAAAAACAAAAGGACACAAATTTGGTAGTTATGTAGAACCAAAAACACACAACTTTGGAAATGAAGAGAGTGCTAAGGAGAAAGAAAATAAAAATCTGAGCAAATAAACACTTAGCTACCTGACTCCAGTAGCGGTTGACAATCAACAGCGAGGCATCATCAGTAGCCTGTCTTCGTTCCAGTTTTTCAATGTGCTCACGGAGTTCATCTTCAATGGCCTGCCGCTGGTCCAGCATTTCTGCCAGCTTGCGATTTTTGGTTTGCAGGGTCCGGATGTCTGAATCCTCCTGCCCCAGGAAACAATCTTATTAGTCTCCACAATGAAATTAGACAAACCAGCTGATGAATTCAACAAAGCCTTAGTAGTTAGTCATTTCGTATGGATAAAGCTATTCATTAAAAACAAAAAACAAAAAAAAACTTAACAAATAATTAGATAAGAAGTAGGAGCAGGAGAAGTAAAGGGTCTATGATGATGGGAAGAATGATGTGCAGAAATACACTAGACTCTCAACCTCGCTCATCTCACCGTTTTATTCCTGTGTATGTTCACAAAGTTCTGCTACAGTGAGGCCCCGCCATCCAGCTAGATCACCCTCTGCCCCAATCGACCGTCATCCATCACCTAAGCACTGCTCTTCACTCCTTCAAGGCTTTGGCACCTGGGTCCTCCCGAACCCCAGTCCCTGCCTCAATAAACGTGTGCACGTGTGCACGTGTGCACATGTGGACAAGCCACAGCCTCTAGCACCTAAACGGTATTTTGATTTCTTTAACTCCAATGATTAGCTCCTCTACTGTGCTTCAGCCATGCACTTCAAAAGCCACATGCTGGACTTTAGTCTGGAACGGTGTCACACCTGAAATCTCAAATTCCACTTTTCATTCCCTGAATAAACCCACACCTTGCCAGGTATCTCATGCCCTACCCCCATACGCCAGCCCTCATTTGGAGCTCCAAAAATCTGGATTCTCGCCTTTCTCCCTGTCAGTCCCCTCTGTCTCCATTATCTTCCATAAGTTGACTGCCCTCTAGCAGGGGCGTCCAACCTGCAGCCCACGGGCTGCGTGCAGCCCAGGATGGTGATGCATGCAGCCCAACACAAAATCATACATTTACTTAAAACACTGAGTTGTTGTTTTTTGTTTTTTTTTTTATTACACGTTACAATGTATTTAACGTGTGGCCCAAGACAACACTTCCTTTTCCAGTGTGGCCTGGAGACACCCAAAGGTTGGGCACCCCTGCCCTATAGTATGTTCCTTCAAACTCCTGCCTGTCAGGCTCCTCAATTTTCTGCCCTTAATCCTTTATTTCACCCCTGTGAACAAACCCCATTCTGAATTAATCCACATACCTGACTATTCCTTTCCTCTACCCAGTATGCTGAGACTTGCTGATAAGATCATTAAACCAAGGAGAAGGCTGCCATTATTAAATAAATTCTTAACCTGAACAGATCTTAGAATTTTTCTAGAAATATTTCTTTCTTTAACAAGTGAACTACCTCCTGTTCTCCATTGAGATAACAGCAAAGTCCCAATCCCTGCCTCCTCTCATGACACACTCAGCAGATGACTTTGCTTCCCATTTTTAAAGAGAAAATACAAAGCATCAGATGCAAAGCTCCTTGACTCCCCATCTCCTTGACCCCTTCACACCACGTACCAACCCATACACATATTCCTAAAACCTCAGCTTGTGCTCAGAATCCCATTCTCTTCGGTTTCTGCAAACATATCACTCCATCGGTACTTCCACACCCCTCTCAATATCTTTAACTTCTCCCTCTCCAGCTCCTTCCCTCAGATGGTGGGGCGGGGCCGGGGGGCTGTAGTATTGCAGGCAAAGAAGCAGGATTAGAAAGGGCATTTTTACTTTACCCAAGAATTAATGACTATTTTAAGGTAAAAGCTGTTTATTAGAGCACCAATTTCTTGTTTTACTTCTCCCATTTTGGTTAAAACATTCTTGATATATTAAAAGAGGCGATAGTTTCCCAATGTACCAGTTTATTAACACTGTTAAACTATAGCTTCAACCTCTTTTCTGAGCACGTCTTCCCCTTCTTGTGCTAACTGAAACCTGGATGAAAATGCCCACTAACCCGCAGGCTTCTGTGGCAGTCACTATTTCTCCCCTGCACCCCCTGAAGCCCTGGGGCTGAAGCCAGGCAGGTGTCCTCCTTGTTCCCAAATGCCACTTCCAGGCCCTAATCTCACCTTCTTCTCCAAAACCTCCTGGCTTTGCGGCTCCTGCCATTGGTCTGCACCACCTGCACCCTGCCTTGCTGCACTCATCTACCAACGCCCAGGTCACTTCCCTGCATTTCCTTAAGATTTGGCACCGAGGTTATTATCATTCTCTGCAACACCACTCCCGTCAGCGTTCCGACCGACTTCCACTCTCATACTGATGGCCGTTCCTGTGCACGCTGGGGCAAGTCACGGAGCTCCTCTCTTCCAGTGATCCTGTCCCCACCCTCCCTCGCTCACCAAACTCCCGGTTAGTTTTAGTCTCAGCTGTACCTGTATGTTCTCTATAAGCTCAGTTTCAAACACCCCATTCTTCACAATTACCACGTATTTTCCAGCTCACTCTCTCTAGTTTATTCCAGCTGGAATTTCCCGACTCCAGCAACTCTTCAACTCCTCCAGGATCTATGATCCATTGGTCCTGTACTTGTCAATGTCCTTCACTCCTCTCACTTCCTTAAAATTCCTCCTTTAATGAATTTAAATTCTGTGATCCGTCATTATAACTATGCCCTTTTGTAACCTTCTTCTCCTTTGTCGTACTGTTTGGTTAAAAACCCCGAACCCGGTAACACCCAACTCTCCACCTACGCCACACAGGCCGACATCCATGCAGCTGAATGTGACTAGAAAAAATAAAGCGCCATGCCGATGGTTCTCACTTTAAACTCACTTTAAACTTACTGGATCACAAATCCAGTAAGTCCTCAGTGCTGCCCATCAACTCTACTCCGCCTCTCTAGTTCATTCAGGACAACTACTTCATACCTTCTCCTGTCTCTTCAAACCTCCAAAACTTCCTCCCCCATCCTCACTCTCAGATGAGTCTTGCTTCTGATTTCACTGGAAAAAAAAAAAAAAATAGAAGCAATCAGGAGAAGACGTCCACATCTATCTCCCACAAGCACAGCTACTGACCTATCTATGTCTACCCTCTTCCTCCTCCCTGCTGTCTCTGGAAAACCTGACTCTGCTCTCGTTAAGGCCAATTCCCCAACCTGTGCACTGTATTACATTCTCTTACCTACTCAAGGAAATCACACCAGTAACTGTCTCTTCACAGTTACGTATCAATTTTATCTTCTTTCCCCAATCATTTCAATCAACAGAAAAACATGCTGTATCTCCTACCTAAAAAAAAATTTTATTTATTTATTTTTTTAAAACCTTCCCTCAATCTCATATTTCCCTCTGGCTACTGCCCCATTTTTTTGGTTCTATTTTACATCAATACTCCTCCCAAGAATTGTCTTTAACTTGTTTCCCCCATTCCTCTCCTCTTACTGTATATTCTCTTAGGCTCACTGAAATCAGGCTTCTATTATCATGACTCTGTGAACACAGTTCCTGTCAAGTCTCCAGTGAACTTTCTATTGCTGAATCTAATGCTCAGTCCTCCCCTTACTCAACCCATCAGCAGCACCGGGTCAACTCCTTCTTGAAACACTTTCTTCACCTGGCTTTTGGGACCCCACTCTCTCTGGTTCTCCTTCTACTTCACTGGCCCCTTTTTTTGGTCTCTTTGGTTAGTCTCTCCTCATCTTTTTGACATCAAAATGTTGCAATGCTCGAGGTCTCTGTTCTCAGATCTCTTCTCTGTCTATGCTGTTCCCCTGGAGGAGAGCCTCTAGTCTCCTGGATTTCAGTATGTACAAAATGGTAATTCCCAAATGTATGGTTTTAGCCCAGACCTCTCCCCAGACTGCGTATCACTATAGCCAACCTACCCATTCAGAGGTCTAGTAAGTATCTCAGACTTACATATCCAAAATTAAACTCATGATTCATCCTCCCCCGTTCCCAGTAATTCTACTCCTCCCATACTCCTCCCTAGCTCAGTAAGTGGAAACACCATACTTCCAGAATCCTGGGGCCATCTCGCTGCCTTTCTCTCATATGCTTCATGCAATCCATCAGCATATCTCGTCCACACTACCTCCACAGTGGTCCAAACCACCACGGCCCTTCATCAAGACTGCTGCACAGCCGCCTGCAACAGACACCTGGGTGCCCCACGCCATGTCCTGTCAGCCTGCCAGATTCAGCACAGCTGTGGTGGACAGCTCCATTCACACTCTCCTGTTCCTACTTCAAGCACACTTAGCAGTTTAGTTTTTTTGTTCCACAATGTCAGCTGGTAATCTTGAGGTACAAAGGAGGGCTTAGTACCTTCAAGGGCAACCTTCCAAGAACTGGGGCAAGAATCAGTGGGTATATACCCCAGCTTCCCACCCTTAATGAGATGGATAGAGTGAGAGGGGGTAGAGGGAGAAGGAGTGAGGGAACAATTTTGCTAACTGAACTCCTGCTTATAACCCTGGCTCCTCTACAGTCTATTCTCCAAATAAAAGTCAGAGAATGTTACACTCCCCTGCTTAAGACCTTCCAATGGCTCCTCCCTGTCTTCAGGATCAAGTCTAAACTGGTATGTGCGCTCTGCGCTTCCCTTAGAGCATGCGGTTATCCCTATGAACAGCACATATCCCACTGTATTCTAACAGCCTATCCCCTTGTCAGTGCCACTCTACACACTGGAATCCAGGTTCCACGCTCAGTGTAAAGCACAGTGTCTGGCAAATAACAGATGCTTAATAGTCATATTTATTGAATGAATAAATGTCCTTGGGATGCGTGATGGGAGAGAGCGCTCAGATAAAATCACCTTCTGGCAGCAGTATGGAGTAGTTGAACCCCAGACGGACTCAGAAATGACACCTCATCAACAATGTGCTCCAAATGCTGCCATTACTCTCTCTGATCCTCAGCCTCAATTCAAATAACAGATGCCGTTTTGTAGCCCATACAAATGTAAAGCATTGTAATACTGTTTCACCATGGCTGAGTTCCAAAATATAGACTCAACTCTTGATCTAAATCAAAACCTATTATAGTTAGCTTCTGATGTCTAACGGACACATAACATTACTATTAGACTTTGGTGTCTAACAGTCTAATAAAAACGTCAGCTTCATAAGAACGAGGACAGTAACTATTTTATGCACCATTCTATTCATTATATCTAGCCCAATAATAATCATTAACAGCTCACATATATTGAGTACTTACCATATTAAAGGTAATATTTTATCTTTACTTATCAAGGTCTTTCATTCTATCCTTTCAACAACCCAGTGAGATAGGTACTTGTAAGTACATTTTGCAGACAAGGAAACAAGAGGCACAGGGAGACTAAAAAAGAGACCATGCAGCTAGAAGTGATGGAGCTGAGAGTCCACTCCAGGAAGCTGGGCCTCAGTCTCTGACTCTTCACTATCTTTTCATAATTTTGCTACATTACTTCTTAGTACCTGGCACTTAATTTTTTTCTTTTTTTTTTAAACTCACTGAGTTTAAAGAAAGAGAGTGTAAGGGAGAGGGAAAGAGAAAAAAACACCTATCTGTTGTTCCACTTATTCAACAGAAGAAAAGCACACTCTCATAGTACTGTTTCCACGTACCGTTGAAGAGACTCCTCCAAGTTTAATTGTTTCCACTGTGGTCCCTGAATCTTCAACAGCTGTCTTCTTCTCCGGAGGCACAGATGTGCCTGGCTCTCCAGCCACTCTTTTATTTCCAATTCCTGACATCTTGGCACAAGATGACAGATGTTTTCCTAGAGGGGAAAAAAGACAGAAACTTAAATTAAGATACAAAAGGGGAGCAACAACAGAGACCACCTATGATGTAAAAACTAGCCATTCTTCTGACCAACCTTTTAACCTGGATCCATTACTTCCACACCAAGCAACACAATCCCCAAATTCTTCTTGGAAAGAAAGAAGTAAATTGTGGATTAAAAGTCAGGGCTGAATTTACACAACTACAAATTTCTAAAGAGGAGGCTGGTAAGAAATAAGATAATGGGTAAAGGGTGAAGAGACCAAGAAAAATACCAGAAATTTCATTTCCTGAAATGGAAAAATATAGTTTGATTAGGATAGAAGTTAATACTACTGCATTAGAATTACAAAGCTGAAAAGAGATCTGGGAGATGTCTACTAGTCATTAACAGTGGACAAGTCATTTATCATCTCTGAACTTATATTTCCTAAACCAAGAATAACAACAGTAGTGCATCCTCCGTATGCCTTTTATAAAGAATGAGTAAGTACAGAAAAAACTTAGCATAATGCCTGACACGAAGTATGCACTCAGAAATGCCACCTTTTTTTATACTCGCACTTGTTTCCCTATTTCCAAATGTTCTCCCCATGATTTTCTGCAACACAAAAGAAGTAGACCTGGGTGCAAATTCCAGTTCTACCTTTTAGGGAGCCGTGCTGCCCTGAAAGAGTTCTCCTTGAGCTTCATGTTCCTCTTATGTGAACAATCGCTCTGTCTGCCTACCTCTCTCCCAGGGTTCCCGAGCTCAAAGGAAACAGAATGGAAGCCACAGACTTTGCTACTTTAGAAAGCGGCCCTGCGATCAGTCACACTACACACTACCTCCAATTCAAGCTCCATGAGAAGGGGTATCGGTGGCAGCAACCTGAGTCAGCCCTCGCCTGGGGCAAGAGAAGGGCCTCAATCTCACTTGCGAGAGGCCGAGGACCCCCGTGCTCCCGCACGTACAAATGCAGGCCCGGGAGAAAGAGGCCCCAGAACCGGAGAGCGTGGAGATTCCCGCAAATCCCATCGCACCCTAGGCTGAGATCTAACCTGGCTTCTTCCAACTCGCGTCGCCCGAGAGCAGAGCTCGGGGTACTTGTTCACCAACGTCCACGCAGACCTCTCATCTCTCAACCCTGATCCACAGGCAAAGATAGGTCAGGGCTTCCGGGAGGTGGGGCCAGGCACAGGAAAAGGGAAAGAGGGCGTCGCTTCAACCAGCAGACGGAAGTGACGCGCACGAGGGCGCCAAGCGCCCGGAAGTAAGTGCTGTCTTTCAACACTTAGGGGTGGGGAAACCTGTTGAGAGCTCAAGGTGCGCCCCCGGCTCCCTGAGGGTTGAGAGAGCACCTCTGACTTTTTTGGCTTGTTGGTCTTTTCCTGCAACCTGCTGTTTCTTTTTAGATAAAGTGCCTTTTTCTGGTGTCTGTTATTGGTTTACCTAGACTCATTCAAATTGCCGATTGGCTGATAGTCCTGTCAATCTCGGAGCCGAGGGGGGTGGAGTAGCCTCGGGCTCCTTGGGAAACTGATACTTAACGGGAACATCTCGTATTTCAATGAAGGGTTTTGGAGAAAATCCAAGAAATTTGATGGGTTTCGGGGCTGGTAGAGTTTTCTTACAGGGACCTATATACACTCTGAAAGATTTTAGTTTTAGAGGGGAAAGGGGAAGAGAGGGTGAAAAACATCAATGTGTGGTTGCCTCTTATGCGCCCCCTACTGGGGACTCTGCCAGCAACCCAGGCATGTGCTCTGACTAGGAATCGAACCACCGACCTTTCGGTTTGCAGGCCAGCGCTTAAGCCACTGAGCCACTCCAACCAGGGTTGGAGGGAGACATTTTTAAAAAACGTTCCCCCAACCCCCTCCTCCTGAGACTCTAAGGTGCAAACAGGATGATAATTACTGCTTTTGTGCTTTTTTTGGAACAAGAAAATGACCAAGGAAACGATAAATACAAATCAGTAGCTTCTGATCTCAACACTAGTCTATTTTAAGCGAATTAAGCATTGATTTTTTTTTTTTAGTCAATTACAAAGTGCCATTCCCCATCCAATTAAACTAAATGTTTTAATGAAAGGAAGATAATCAACCTAACTTACCAATAAAAAGCTCTATGCATCGCAGAACTATGTAAAACTATCTAATGACATCAGATAGTGGCCCAGAGATGGAAGAATAATTGCTATATCTTTAAAAAGAAAAAGGAATTTAGGCCTCTGGGCAGGGGGGTTGGGGGGGGAGATCAAAACTAATCCATGCTGGGTTTCTAATAGTGTGAAGATTTCAGTCCCTGCTCTTGCTGGGTGTTACCTATGAATAAGTAAGAAGATAAACAATAGGACAACAAGTGTTTGTGGTTTCAGGTACTAGAAGACTTTGCCTAACCTGCAAAGAAGTTGCTCCAGGTGGACTTCACATTTTGTTAGGTAGAGCAGGAGACTGAACTGTGTTAGGGGACCCAGCTACTGAAGTGCACTCTATGAGATAATAACCCTAGTTCTCTGCTCTCCCTCTATTGGCTGCTCTACTCTTGGCAAGGCTTGCATCTACAGAATCACTGAACGGTAAGCAATGGTTCTTCTAGCCCAAAGTTTGTAAACAAGAGTTTCACAGGCTGTATTTGGTCAACAGATATGCTTTTTTATTTTGAGCAGTATTAGCTACCCTTTGTGGTTAAAAACAACACTGATTTAATCACCAACGTTTAAAATAGGGGATTTTACATAAAAGTCCACATTGTCAACTTCTCTTGAAAATATTGTAGATCTAGCAACACTGGGCTTATGCACTTGCATGGCCACATTGCCTGGAGCTGGACAGTGCTTCCACCTTTACCTGTCTTTGCTATAGTCCCCACTATTATCAATTTCCTCACACTAGTTGAGTTTCATTTGAGTATCGTCACTTGTGTGTTGTATTGCGATAAATCAGTTGCTGATACTAAGTCAGTATTGTTGGTTGCCCACCTAGCTTCTACTCCACCTCTCTCACCTCTTAACAGAGCACAACCAGGAAGTTATTCATATATCCACTTAGCTCTCTTCATTCTGTATGTCTTGGAGGAAGCTGATTTCACTTCCAAGGATTGCGTTAATATAAATGGTAAGTCCCATTCCCCAAGCCAAAGTCCTTGTCGTAAAAATGGACAGTTTAATCAGAATGAATCACTTGGCATAGAAGGGCTAAAACAGTTTATTTATCTTCTGAATTTTTTATGTGAGGACCAAAATTTTTGGAGCCTTCTTGCTACCCAGCTTGATAATGAAGCCAACACAGAGGTGACCAGAACTAAGACAATTTCAGGGAAATTGATCCAGATCAATTCGGGATACCCCTAACTTCAACTCACACTTCAGAGTGCTAGGGAAGATGTTGAGAAGAGAGCAGATGTTTGTAGAATCTTCCAATTCTCACGTGTAGATAACCATATTCTCCAGCTGCTCTTCCGAAAGCCCATCAGCCATCTGGCACCGCCCCCATAGCCTATCCTGATCCAAAGAGGTAGCCTCGTCCTAAGAATTGGGAAAAGAGAATAGAAGAAGAGGAGGATGGCAGAGAATTCTCTCATTGACCGCATTCTGCGTGTCCTACCAGCCACCACCTGTTTACCACCTTATTCGGGGGAAAAAGGAATAGCTGTGGAAAAATAGGGTTGACACACATAATAAATACCATAGCAGAATAGCATTTGCTATGCTAAAAGAATACTTAATATTTCATATCACTTGTTTTTGAAAGTTATCACTTTTCTCCACAATATTACAAGTAATAACCTTTTTTCTTAAAGAAGACACTCATAGTTCAAGTGATTTTTTTCAAAGTTAACATTTGTCAAAGGACCCATCTTTTGACTCACAGCCAGTCTTCAGTAACTACCCAATTCTGCCACAAGGTGGCAGCAGGCAATATGCATTCCTCCCAGTTCCTTTTCTAAAACTTTGGTTCCTTTTCTAAAACATTTGGAAGTCTTCCATAATGTTTTTTAACTTAACTCTTAGAAACCTGGACGTCTACTTAGGGTGGGCTTAATGCTCTCATAAAAGACAAAGTTAAGATATTTCAGGTTTTTGTTTACCATTTTGACTATGCTTTCTACAAATGTTCTGCTGTAAGATTGTTGTTCTGTCTCCTTGGAATATAGTCCAATATTCCATGATTGGTTTATTTGTGTGCTAAACATAATTCTAAACGTCCTTTATATATCCTTATTTTAAGTCTAGTTGTATTTCATCTACCATAACATCACTTGTTAAACAGAAACATGTAGATCCCATGGCCCCTGCTCTAGACTTACCAAATCAGAATCTCCAGGGAAAGCTCTTTGGAAATGTAAGTCTTACCTTTGTAATTAGGCCCCGTATCCAGGCACGTTTGAGGAACACTGCTCTAAGTGATGATGTCCAACGCTCCCTGAAAGTATACTACAGAAATCTATTCCCTCCCCTGGTGCTCACTTCCCCACTTTATAGCAATTCACCTTTGTCACATCTTTCTCCTTCTATCCTTGCCTCCTTCTCCCCACATTGCCTGGTCTGCTATACTATGCTATGCCCAGCTCTCTTATTTTGCGATTCCTGAGGACTATGGTGGTGGCTTAGTCTAGGGAGCCAAAGCCAGGCCTGTCGTGCTCAGAGAGTGAGGACAGGGAGTCCCAGCAGGGTCTGTGGAAGGATGAGACCTGATGGATTCACAAAGATCATTGAAGGATGAGAGTCACAAATTGTTGGAGAAGCCCCACTTTATTTAAGGCTACCCTAGAAAGGGCACTGTGTCTATGTTAGTCATAGAACAGGTCTCTTATGTTTTATACCATGTGACATTGTATGTTTAGATGACTAATATTTTTATAATTTTGATTATATAATTGTGCTGGCTATGACTCCCTAATTAGAGGATGAGAATTTGGATGAGAAGCCACACTGTTTGTGAATTCTCACTGGGTAGATGCACTATTTCATATTGCTGTTACTGGGTAACTGGCAATCCATCTGGCCTCGGAGGAGAAAGAACAACATTACTGAAATTCTTGCAGTAGGCATTGGCATGGAGACGCGAAGCATAATTACAAAGATAAGATTTGGTATTTTCCTTTCCAGTCCTGTAGCTTGACCTCTAGAAAACAACCTGAGAACTGAAACTGGATTTCAGCTTAAGAGCATTTTTCAAAATGAGTAAATACAAACTTAGGTTTTCATGGCCTTGAAGGGCAAGGGGGATGGGAGACAAAGCCCAGGGACTATCAGTGTTGAATGCCTGTTAGAGACCCATCCCCATAAAAGTAAACTGGAAATAACTATTCTCACATCCAGGGGACTGAAATAAGATTGTCAGTACCAAAGCTTCATATAAAGATTTCTGTCAACTGATCTGAAATTCCAAAAGGCACTTAAAAAGAATTTCAAAGGATACAGAGAGGCGAAGGACCACAAAGGCCCCAGGCAGAGCCAGTTACAAATAAGAGACTGTTCCTTGTTGGAACAGTAAGGATACAAACTCTGAGATGGAGATTTGTGTGCAAGAGTTTGACACCTGTACAGGGGTAAGTGGGATTGGGCAGAAGGAGAGTTGGACTGTGTTGCCGTCACAACAAAGGCCTCCACTGACACCATGAATAGTAGCTCTAGACATGGGAACTCTAGTAGTTCTAGAGTTGCTTGGAACTGAAGCAAAGAGGCCAGGCTTTTATCCCCCTGCACCAATTGGTTGTTGGATGTGGATACTGGGTGGCATGGAGAAGGGACCAGGACCTTGATCCCGGGGGCTTTCTCTGGCCAAGGGCAAACCCTGGAGGGAAACAACTGAGATCTGTTAAGGTCCAGCATTCCCAGCAGCTGGAAAAACTGAGTTCCTCGGTTTTCAAGGGAGCAGGGGAAGACATTGCCAGCACACCATGGCGTCCACTGGATGGCCAAGGGGAGGAAGTACCCAGTGCTGAAACTCCTAAAGCGAGAGTTGAAAGAATGTCACTCTGGAGTCTTGCTAAAAGGCACAGACGTCTGGGTTTCCCACTCCTGCAAATGAAGTTGATGAAGTTGTGGAGACTGGCTGAAATATGTTCCTTCTCCTAGCACGCAGGCGTCCCCTTGATCCCTTCAGATGATGGTTGTAAAAAGATTATTGTATTTTACACTGACGTTATGGGCTCTGTTGTTATTCCTAAAGAGAGGAGAATGGAA